GGGGGGGGGGATAAATGTATGCCATCTGCATTGTAAACGGGGAGACGGGACATCAAGAGACGGATAGTGATATTCCTATCTCTGTCTTCTCCACCTTCCTGCAAGAGTTTTACAAAGCGGAAAACCTTGGAATGAGGGGGTCAGGCATCCTTCCTCGCATCCTTCCTGCGAGGATGACATTTTAAGTACTTAGGATTTATGGTCGTGAAAGGGGGGGGAAACTGATCTCGGGTGTGGCGAAGAGTGAAGGATAAAAAGGGATGGACGTTAGAGTTATGGAAAGGGCTTATTGATGATATAGATCCGTATTTCTTTTTGACAGACTCCCTGTTTGCCTGTGGGGAGAGGGGCCGTACCAACAGGCAGCCCACGATCCACGGCTCAGGAGTCAGGTCTTTCCCCCTCGCCCAGAGTAATTTCATCGCTGTGAACTGGGCGTTGAGGATAACTGTTCACCTGGCCGGAGCGCCGGGTGATTTGCAAAAGCCCCCGTTTGCTACCGGAATGATTTGAATCCGAGGCAAAGCAGCTCTGGGGTCAGAGCAAAGAGCGCCTTTGTTCTGCGGTGTTTGCATACGGGTCCCCGGCCAGGTAACGAGGGGCGGGGGGCGGGCGGGCGGCCTGCCTGCGTTCTTTGCGGTCAGGCAGGAGGTTCGAATGCAAACATGCCAGGCCGGGGTGGGGAAGGCCCGGCGTCTAATTCGGGAGCTTAGAGACAGGACCGGTGGCTCATGTCTCAAACGGACTCGCCTGCCTCTGCCGCAGAGACCCCTGGCCAGGGAGGGTGGATGAGTCAGACCCGCGCATTCCTTTCAGTCCGTCTGAACAAAGTAGCAGTTTGGTGTAGTGGTAGAGCCAGTCTGGTGTGCAGTGGTTAAGAGCGGCAGACTCTGATCTGGGAGAACTGGGTTTGATTCCCCACTCCTCCACATGCAGCCTGCTGGGTGGCCTTGGGTCAGTCACAAGTTCTCTCAGAGCTGTTCTCTCAAGAGCAGTCTTTGAAATAGCTTTCTCAGCCCTGCCTACCTCACAGGGTGTCTGTTGTGGGGAGGGGAAGGGAAAGGTGACTGTAAGCTGCTCTGAGCCTCCTTCGGGTAGTGAAGGGCGGGGTATAAATCCAATCTCTTCTTCTTTTTCCATGGTCCTCTCCTGATCCTGCATTGAGCAGAGGGTTTGACTAGATGCCCTGTGTGGCCCTTTCCAACTCTACAATTCTATGTACGCCTCCCTGAGTTCCTCGGAAAGAAAATCAGGATACAAACCAACTGAATGAATGCATCGTATGCAGTGTTCCCTCTAAGCTGAATTAGTGTGAGCTAGCTCACAGTTCTTTAGCCTCCGGCTCACACATCTTTGTCTTAGCTCAGGAAGGAGGGCTCCAGAGCAAACTAATTTATGCAGTGGCCAAATCGCTCGCTCACATCTTTAATGCCAGTAGCTCAGAAAGTAGAATTTTTGCTCACAGGACTCCACGGCTTAGAAGGAGCGTTGGTTGAAGACCGCAAACTTAGCTTTTCGCTTAGGCCTTAGCTTCCCTCTTCGGTTGAGATTGGTGCTTCGAAACAGTCACAGCCTCCAAGAGTTGGTTTTTGGCCAACTGAACTGCGTGAAGATGTTGGAATCCAGAATATTCCTCTCTAACCATGTTGGGAGGGCTTTATGGCTGCCCCCCCCCCCTGATGCCCCAGTCTTTCGGGGAAGGCCGACCTTAAGATACTGTTTACCCTGTGGTGGATTCCATTTTGTCAGTTTGTCAAAAGTCTCGATGGATTCGTTTCCTCTCGAACCCAGTTCTGCGCGCGTGTAACTCGTGTCTGTTTATTGAGCCGAGCTTGTAGTCCCTTAACATTTGGTGTGAGGCGGTGTGTCTTTGTGTGTGGTTTTCATGTCTCTCCCCCCCTTCCCTTCCCAGCGTTTCCATTTCTCCCCCCAGCCTTTAATGTTTGACTTTTGAGAATTCTCCTCTGAGTTGCGGTGGAAATAACCTCCCGTTTCCCTTTCCTCCTTGACAGGGATTGATTAAGATTCGCGGGGATCGCTGCTGGAGAGAACTGACTTGCATGAACTACCATTACGAGGTGAGCTACTCGATGGCACCGTCTTTTCCCTTGAGATATTTGCTGTCTCGGCCTCTATGCCTGACTCGTGCTCTTCCCCGACAGAATTTGCTGAACTCCTGTTTTGCACACAACCCTTTGCCGATTCCTGCTCCCATCACTTCTGCAGTGTGCCCCAAAAGATCCAGTTCTCTTTCCCCCCCTTGTGTACGGATGTAGCTTCCCCAGGGGGCACGGTCTGAGGTCCAGCAGGTGAGGTTGCAGAGAGTAACCCAAGTCCAGTCCAAAAGTCCGGGGTTCCAGAGAGCAGGTTTACCAAAGTCCAGTCTAGGGTCAAGGAGTTCCAGGCAGGAAGTCCAAGTCCAGTCTGAGGTCATGGGTTCCAGAAAAGCCGTTTGTCAGGTCCAGTCCAAGTTTCAAGGTTGCAGAGGTGCGGTAGCAGCAAGCCTGGTGGCTCAGTAGCAAAGTGCGCTTGTTGCATCCACAAACTGCTGCTTCTCCCGGCTGAAGTTATAACCAAGTCTTAATGAACTAAACTCCCAGCCAATTCGTTGGCAGTCATCCTGGAACTACTCATTTGTCTCTTTGATTGACAGCTGACGACGGGCCATGAGTCTCGCACTTCTTCTCCTTTCTTGCAAC